TATGTAAGGATTTCTCTTAACCAGAAATCTGATAAGAATATATAATTTATCGAAATTTATGATTTCCCATAAAATTAGATATGAATGTCCGATTTCCTTCAAATTTGCACATATCAATATTTTTATCTGCATATCGAAAAATTTGATCATGTCTTTTGTAAAGTATAGAAAGTAGTCGATATTACCTGGTTCGTTGTAATATTTATATCAGCTTTAGGTCAGATACGAATTGATCAATATTGACCAACTGCTTAAGAACCTCCCTCATAAAGAGTCAACAGTTTTAAAATTTATCCCAAGGCTGCGGGTATACCCCATCTGTTGTCGAAAACGACTGATACTATTTAACTTGTTTTTCCATAACTTTGATATGTTGTTTCCTTCTCAATGCACTCAAAATGTACTTAGATTAACTTAAGTTTTACCCATCACTGTTATATTTTCAAATATGTGCTTTCTATCATCCACACCTATATCTTAGTTTCGAATTTGCCAAAAATTAACATCTTTAACAAATTTGAATGACCAATAAAAAATTAACTATTTATTTGAAAACAAGATAACAACATTTGATTACTATTTTCTTTTGTTTAGGACAACCCAGCACCACGAATGCTGAATGGTCGTATGCCGATACCAATTGGGGAGCAAATTATTCCCAGTGTAACGGTAATCGCCAATCACCGATTCACATTCAATCACATAATGTAAGTTGTTGTTTTTTAAAATATTTTTTGTATGCCTATTTTGGAATAAATTTAATTTTTTTGTTATTTTTTCTAACACAAATTCATTCATTAAAACGTAAAAAATAGTTTGTTTACCACTTTTTTTATTTGAATAGAAAGTCATAAATTATTTAAATATTATTTTTCTCGAATGAAGGTCAAGGTGGTGATGTGGTGGGCTGCTGGATCACGTGATTAATTTTATTTGTGTTTAGTAATTAATTTGGAAATTAGTTCTGACACTCCGCTTAAAAACCAAAAAGAAAATAATAACAACCTCATCGTCAGATAGCTGAATACATTTTTTGAAGATTGACCGCAGCTTTCTTTGTTTTGCATAAAATCGTACGACTTCTATAGATTTATTGGCTGTGTCACGCCAACGTCTCGATTTTGTTTTCAATCAAATAAATATTTAAATATGCATTTATTTTGATCATTAAAATATTTGACAAACAAAATGTCGGAAGCAGGTGACTGAAATGATCGAAGACAGTTGACACGTTTTTAGGGGCTCGTCTGTGGGGGTTTTTTGAATTGAGATGTTTTTTTTTTTTTTTGATGTTTTATTCATATCGTGACACAATAAATGAAGGTAGTCGAATTTGATAAATTTGTTTTTGGTAATCTTTAAATCGAGGATATTCGAAAATTTTTATTGTGGCTTTTACCGGAATTATTTCAAATTTGGTGTTTGAAGTTCGCAAGGCTGTAGTATGCCTGTGCCAGAAAATTGTTTGTGCAGGTCCACGTTTTATAACCACCATGGTACCTCCCCATATTCGGTATTTTGATGATTTTCGCTACATTATAAACAGATTTTTTTCGAGTTTCACATTTGAATATTGTAATAGCTTATGACAAAAGTTGCCTACGCAGGTTCACGTCGTCGTATAAATTCTAAATTCGGCTATTTCGGTATTTTTAAGATTTTAACAGAATTTTTAACGGATTTTATTTTTTTGAAAATTGCCAAATTTGTACCAAATGGTGGAGGGTATTCAAAGTTCGACCTGGCCGAACTTACAGCTTTTTTACTTGTTTTTTATCTAAGGCCGAAGTAAATTTTGTCACAGCCAGAGTCATCTCAAGGACCCACCAAACTAAAGTAAAACACGAGTTAGTAGATTTCAGTTTTTCAATACATTTTTCTCGTATTAGAAATGTGAGAAACATGTATTTTTGTCAAGGAATGATTAACGACTCCTTTTAAACAGATGTTAGGGTTAAAGCCGCACATCTTGTGAATTTATGCAAAATTCTCCTACATAGCATCATTTTCGAAGGGTGACATTAAAGACAACAAGTTAAAAAGCACTAAGTTCGGCCGGGCCGAACTTTTAATACCCTCCACCATTTGCAACGAATTTGGAAATTTTTAAAAAATAAAATCCTTAAAAAATTCTGTTAAAATTTTAAAAATACCGAATATAGCCGTCATATTGGGGTCTATACGATGTGGACATACATAGGCATTGCTTGTCATAAGCCATTACCATATTCAAATTGGAAACTTGAAATAAACGGTAAATAATGTAGCTAAAATCATCAAAATACGGTATATAAGGAGGTGCCGTTAAATTGGAGCTGTGCAAAGACCTGGACCAGCATAGACAATTTTCTGTCACAGGCTGTAGCATCCATTACGAACTTCAAATACCACATTTCAAACAATTTCGGTGGGTATTGTACCAAAAATCGTCAAAATACCGAATATGGGGAGGTACTGATATATGGGGCCTATACGAAAACGTGGACCTGCACAGGCCATTTTTTGTCATAGGCTGTAGTATCCATTACCAACTTCAAATACCAAATTTGAAACAATTCCGGTGATTAATATCGCAAAAATCATCAAAATGCCGAATACCGGGAGGTACCCTTGAACCTGCACAGACAATTTTCTGTCATGGGCTGTAGTATTAATTTTAAATCTCAAGTACCAAATTTGAAAGAATTCCGTTGAATAATGTCACTAAAATCAACAAGTACCGAATATCCGGAGGTACCGTTATATGGGGGCTATACGAAGACGTAGACCTGCACAGACAATTTTCTGTCTTAGGCTGTAGCATCCATTTCGAACTTCAAATACCATATTTGAAAGAATTCCAGTAAATAATATCGCTAAAATCATCAAAATACCGAATATCAGGAGATACCGTTATATGGGGCATATACCAAAACATGGACCTACATAGCCCATTTTCAATACCAAAAGTCCTGCAGACATAATATACATTTGAGTAAAATTTTATCAGTCTACTTCAATTCGTTCGAAAGCTAGAGTGATTTCCACAGACGGACAGACGGATAGACGGACGGACATCTCTAAATTGACATAGAATTTTATATATAGAAGGTATAAAAATCGTGCACATGCATTTATTTAGATTTGAATCTAATATCGGAACTCGATTAAAGGCCCCTACTGCATTCTATATTTTAATGTTTTAGCCTCACTTTTGAAGTAAGTCGTCTACTACGCTGTGAGACGAAATGTCATTTTTTTTAATAATTACGGGATAAATTCCTTAAATTATTAAATGATCAGAAAACAAGTTAGAAAGTATCAGTCGGTTTTTGCCGTCAGATGTAAACCTTCATCTATTGTCCGTTTATTTTTTAACATATTTTGGTCAATATTGTCCAACTCCTTTCCGATTTATGACCGATATAAATATATGAGAGAGAGAGTGATAATTTTTAGAGAATGTTGAAATGTGCATGAGGTGCCAGATATAGTGGATGGAGGTATTCCACAGCATCTAATACTAATAAAAATATTGGGAACTGCCGAAGGTTATGAAAATCGAACATTTATTTTCAATTTTATGCGAATAATTGTAAATCAAAATGTTAACTTTTTGTGGGAAAGAAGGTATCAGAAGGAGTGGGCAGAAAAATACATTCGCATTAGATCTCTTTAATATTTAAAATTGTGATCGCTTGTGGGGAAGGTACCACAAGAGGTAGGCCAATATCTAACATCTTCACGCCATATCTTGTGTTAGTTGAAATATTGAGATGTGTGAAGTTTGAAAAGAATTGGGTGCTTACGCGCATTTTTAGGGCGTTTTGTTATTAAAAATTTGAACCCTTTGTGGGGGAGGTACGAGAAGAAGTGGACGGATATATCACATCTTCACAACAGATCTTGTGTTAGTAGAAATAATGGGATTTGTGAAATGTGAAGAGAACCGGATGCTTATTTCGGATTTTTTGATCGTTTTGGCTATTTAAAACCTTGACCTTTTGTGGAGGAGGTACCAAAAGGAATGGTCCGATTTCCGCCATCTTAATAACACATATTGTGTTGAAAGAAATATTAAGATGTATCAAGTCCGAATGGAATCGGATGATAATTTCGCGTTTTATAAACTTTATGGATATTCAAAATGTTGACCCTTTGTAGGGGAGGTACCAGAAGGAGTGGACTGATATATTCCATATTCACACCAGACCTCGATGTAATTTGAAGGCAATCTACTCTTACATGACATTTTATAAGAGTTATAGTTATTCAAAATTTTGACCTTTGCTGGGGAGGTATTTGATAGCACTGATGTAAATATTAGGATTTGCAAAGTTGGATTATATTTTCTCTTTCTGTGAAGTAAAATATATTTTTGAAAATTTCGACCTTTTGTGGGGGAGATACCAGAAGGAGAGGACCATCTCCGAACTCGATTTGGGTTTGGCAATAATATTACGATGTACCAACTTTGGATCAAATCGGATACTCCCTTCGAGAGTATAATAAAAGTGGTTTTATCTAAGGCTAAAGTAAGCTCTGTCCAGCTAGGGCCAACTCAAAAGCCCACAAAACTTAAGTAAAACACAAGTATGTACCAACTTCAGTTCTATAATACATTTTTCTCGTGTGATATGAAAACTTGTATTCGGGGTTATTAGAAGATAGATTTTCGACTCCAACGATCAATGGATGACTCGATGATATTCGAATTTAGGTCGTCGGCTAAGTGTAATTGGGCTGATGAAGTTGGCTTGATGATGGATGACTTAATGATTTGAGGTTCGATGTTATTCGGATTGAGAGAGACGGCCTAGTGACAATCGGACAAAGTAGTCGGTAATGACTATCGGGTATGTAGCCGATTTAATAACAATCGGATACTCGACCAGGTGAGGAAGGTCTTGTTAGTGAATTCGGCCTAGTGTCTATCGGGTGATAGTGGTCGGCTTTATGATGCTCGGCTGTTGAACTAAAGTCGGCCTAGTGACGATCGGGAGATAGTGGTCGGCTCTATGATGCCTGGTGACTATCGTGTGATAGTAGTCGGTTCTGTAATACTCGTATTGGTAAAGTCAACCTGGTAACGACCGGGTGATAGTGGTTGGTTCTATGATGCTAGGGGTATGTGAAGTCGGTCTAGTGATGATCGGGTAATAGTGGTCAACTCTATGAAGCACGAGTTGGTAAAGTCGTCCTGGTGATGGTCGGGTGATAGTGGTCGCCTCTATAATGTCTGTTGAGTATTGAGTGATAGTGGTAGGTTCTATGATGCCCGGGTTGGTGGAGTGGGTCTAGTGACGATCGGGAGATAGTGGTCGGCTCTGTGATGCCTGGTGACTGTCGAGTGAAAGTGGTCGGTCCTATGAAGCCGACTCTATGATGCCTGGCGACAATCGAGTGCTCGATTCTTTGATTCTTTGACGTTCGAAAGATAGTCATCGATTCTGTGATGCTCGGGCTGGCAAAGTCCCCTGCTGACTATCGAATTATAGTGGTCGGTTCTTTGATGCTTGGGTAGGTGAAGTCGGCTCTGGATGCGGACGAACCGCGAACGAATCGCTGAGGTGAAACGCTGATGAACCGTGGAAGCGAACGGCAGGTCACCACTATTGATTACCTTTGACACGAGGCAGAACGACAGTGACTGCTCTCACGAAGGGACTACTCTCCATCTGACAATACGCAGTGATTGAGAATTATTTCTTCACACCAGGAAACTGAAACCACCAATCTTCTACGAATGTGTGTATAATCTGTATGATATTAGGGAGGTTTATTATTTAAGAAATGAAAATTATTTATATAGGAAGATAATGAAGTTTTTTTTAGATTTTTTAACATTTTCAGATTAAGATTCCTGGGAATCCTAGAAGTGGAAATTATGTGTTTTCGTTTTTGACTCTTTATTTCATACATGTGCAGGGAGACCTAATTTTTACCTAATTTTTAGGGAAAATTGTTAAAGATCAAGTTGACCCTAAAAATCTCATTACACATATTTTACTTTTACATTCCAGACATATATTTTACCAACGCGACCGCTAAGATTTAAAAACTACGATAAACCCCTACTTGGACCCATAAAACTCAGCAATACTGGTTATACTGGTAAGTGAACATCACGCAAAAATTTATATGGAATATTAAAGCAATTCTATTTTAATTCCTCAGCTGACATTTCAATACCTACAGCATTTGATGGAAGTAGGCCATCGATAACGGGTGGTATCCTCAAGGGAAACTATGAAGCAATTGGCGTACATTTCCATTGGGGTGATCCATTTGGTCCAGGTTCGGAGCACATCATTGATGGGCGACAATTTGATGTTGAAATGCACATCGTCCACAAGAAGAGTACATTTGCCACCGTTGAAGAGGCCACCCAGTATCCCTATGGATTGGCTGTTCTGGGTGTAATGTTCAAGGGGGTTGAGGTAAGTCAAAGGATGGAAAAGCATGAAATCTGCGGATTCCCAATGGAATCTTAATCGGAAAATTAAAAAGAAAATGTGAAAGTGGTGGAAATAGAGGCGGCAACTACTTAGATTACCTTCCGATGTAAATTTTCAAAATGCCGCTATATTTTTTTTTTACCCTCTACCATACTATGGAGGGTATATTAACTTTGTCATTCCGTTTGTAACTCCTCGAAATACTCATGTCAAACCCAACAAAATATATATATTTTTGATCAGCGTGAAATTCTAAGTCGATTTAGCGATATCCGTCTGTCTGTCGGTCTCTATGTCTGTCTGTCTGTCTGTCTGTCTGTCCGTCTGTCGGTCTGTTGCAATCACGCTATCTTTCGAAAGAATTGAAATAGAAAGCTAAAATTTTGCACACATGTTCCAGTAGGCAGCTTAAGTTCGTAAATGGGACATGTAGGTTAACGTTTTCATATAGCCCCCCTATAACGGTACCTCCCGATATTCGGTATTTTGATGATTTTATTATCTGTGCAGGTCCACGTCTTCGTATAGCTCCCATATAACGGTACCTCCCTATATTCGGTATTTTGATGATTTTAGCGACATTATTCAACGGAATTGTTTGAATTGAATTTTGGTATTTGAAGTTCGTAATGGGAACTACAGTCTGTGGCAGAAATTTGTCTATGCAGGTCCACGCCTTCGTATAACCCCCATATAACTGTGCCTCCCGATAATCGGTATTTTGATGATTTTAGCGACAACGGAATTGTTTCAAATTTGGTATTTGAAGTTCGTAATGGGAACTACAGTACCTCCCGATATTCGGTATTTTGACAATTTTAGGTGCAATACCCACCGAAATTGTTTGAGATGTCGTATTTGAAGTTCGTACTGGATGCTACAGCCTGTGACATAAAATTGTCTATGCTGGTCCAGTTCTTCGCACAGCTCCGATATAACGGTACCTCTCTATATATGATGTTTTGAAGATTTTAGCTACATTATTCACCGTTTATTTCAGGTTTCGAATTAGAATATGGTAATGGCTTATGACAAACAATGCCTATGTGGGTCCACGTCGTTTAAAATTTTATCAAAATTTTTTAAGGATTTTTTTTTTGAAAATTTTGAAATTCGTTCCAAATGGTCGATGGTATTCAAAGTTCGGCCCGGCCGAACTTACTACTTTTTAACTTGTTCGCTCTACTTTCATAATATGCAGAATTTTTCCTGTAATTATTGAAACAATTGAATTTTGTCGCAAAGTGTAATTCGTTCCTCACTCCAGCATCACAGCTTTAATAAGTGTGCCTTTTGGGTAAAATTCCACTATTCCCAAAACATGAAACATCCCAATCCAAAATAACAAATCTTTTAAATAATTTGTTTATATGTTTTGAAAGTTATTCAAAGCATCGGCGGTACACTGACGATGGCAAATAATAGTGATGATACCCGCAAGAATTTTGTTTTCGAAAAAATCCCCAAAAAAATTATTAATTGAATACATTAGGTTAATGACGTGTTTCGATTGTTTAAAGACTCATAAACGTTCGTTCATAACAAAAACAAAACATGTTAGAAACAATAAAGAAAAATACTTTTTAATGGAATTTTTTCCGAAGTTAGACAATGTTCCATTTCCTGTAAGACTCACCACGGAAGAATGACGGATTATCAATATGTGGCATAAAATAAAACAATAACCACCCAAATAATTTGACATAATAATAAAAGTGTTTTTATGTCGATACAAAATGGCAAATAAAAAATTCATATTTGGCCCAAAATAACAAACCGGTCAATTCATAACAGAAAAAAACTGCCATATTAACTTTTTCAAAATAATGATTCGATCCCATGTTTCTTTGATTTTACGTCAACCAAATGCCAACAAATATTGAAGTGTTTTTTTAGAAAAAAGTACCTACATAAAATGTTAATTATTGGGATAGATCTGCAAAATACTCTGAGCAACTACATATGTTTATTTCTAAGTCGTAATTCAAAACTTTGCAAAAGATTGGAATATTATAAAAATAGGTTCGCTTCTATAGAGCGTAATGAATTACGCAAAAAAAACGTACACACCTTAAAAATGGAAAATAAATTCGACTTTGGTTGAACTTGGTGTGGTTTGGCCTAATATTTTACATTTGACGAAAAATACACTTGAAATCAAACGAAGTTAAACGGAGCTATATCCATATCTGAACCGATTTCGTCAAAGGTACTTCTCGTGCTTCTGTGACTTAAATATGAAATCGTATGAAAATATAGGAACTATTGTTATATCTTAACCGATTTTCACTAAATTTGACACACTTGATTCTAGGCTGAATTCGGTCGGATGTAGCGAAATCCATAAAATGTGGACTAATATTACTCATATGGCTCACAATAAATAGATTTTATTGAATAAAACCAAACAATGTCAGAAATAGCATAAAATTTTAGAATCAGTTCAGACTTGATCGAATTGGTCACCTTTGGCACGAATTATGGCCTTCAAACGGCCAATGAAACCGTCACACGCTGCACGAATGTTGCTCTACGGTATTTTGGTCCATTCCCGGCAAAGCGCTTGCTTGAGGTGATCGACACTTTGGTATTTTTTAGTGCCAACCTTGCTTTATAAAATACTCCAGACACAATAGTCCAGCGGATTGGTATCCGGAGATTGGTTGCCATTTTGCGCTGGAAATGAAGCGACGAACCTCATTTTGTAACCATTCTTGGGTGGCGCGTGATTCTTGATTTCGGGCTACGCTACCAGTATCACGGTAACGAGCGATGGTACGAGACACAAAGGATTTATTCACATTTAAATGCTCGAGTGCTCTAACGATAGCCACTTGTGGTTTGTATTCCATTACGAATAACATTTTTCTGGAAATTTCTCACCAAAATTCATTTGTACGCTTGAAAACAAAGTAATGAGCTGTCACTGGAATAATGTTAAGAGCTGTCGGACGAGTGGCTTAGAAATGACAGCAGTCTGAAGTTGGTTGCAGTTTTTTCATCTCACCCTGTATTTATATTTAGGTGTCTTCGGCAATATAACTACCAACAATACGAGAATTTTCTAAATATTTTTATCCGTGGTAGGTCAGATGTGGAAGTAGATAATATCGGATCGATCCATCATGTACAACCCTCACAATAAGTCAGATTTTAGAATAATTATAACTCTTTACTAACACAAGAACTGTCAAAATTTTGAATATCCAAAGGATCATAAAATAAGAAATTAGCATCCGATTATTTTCATATTTCACATATTCTAATGTTTTTGGCTAAAACAAGTTGATAGATATCGACCTACCCCTTCTGGCTAATATTTTGAAAGAAAAATATCCGCATTAAATTAAAAAAAAAAATGTTCGACCCAATGTTTCCAATATTTTTTATCAGTTTAAAAAGAAGTGGCATACTTCAGTCCACTATTTCGGGTAGCTTACGAATATTCCAATTATATTTTGTAAACATAAAACGAAGGAAGTATTCAATACATATTAGGTCTGACACAGTATAACATTTATATCAGACTTAGGACGGATACGAAATGGCAACCCTTTATGGAGCGCTAATAATCATAACACAACTCAAAAAATATTTAAGTAAATTTAAGACATTGGTTGAGGGTATAAATCTGTCGGCAAAAACAAACGGATACTTTTGAAATCGTTTTTTAAAATAATTTTAGTAAATTATTATTGATTATTATTTATTATTATTATTATTATGATTATTTTCCTAAAACTGGTACTGCCCTTTCTTTATTTAGGTTTTAAAAGCGCCATTAAACGCGTCTTCTATTTCTAGCTACAATCTGCTTTCATAATCTGCTGGATTTTTCCTGTAATAATTTATGTGTTGCACAGTGTTATTTATGAATTTTAAGGGATAAATTTATTTTATTTTGGATTAACAGAAGGAGTTGACCGATATTGCCCATCTATATTATGCAATGGTTGGACCAGGCCTGGAACACTTAAATTCTCCAAATCTATTCCGGTTCACTTTTTTTGTCAGATCTTTTACTGTTCCTGATTCGCACACTCTACGGATTTTCAAAATTCCAAAAAAAATTAAAATTCGACAGAATTCTTGGATTTTTTTCTTTATTTCAACTCAACGCACCAAATTCCAATATCATACCAAATTTCAAAATACAATTAATTGAGAGCTTTCCTTTTCTTGCCACAGATTAATAGTACAGATTTAAAAACCACCTCTAAACCAGCAGTGAACAATCCGTTTGCTCAATACCGAAAGGATATCAATGTTAGTACCATCATTCCTACTGTCACAGATAAAAATTCCAAGACTATTACTTCCCAACCTTAAATCACATACCAAATGTATATTTTCGATCTATCTTCGTTCAAAAAGATACCCTTTCGTACATTCCTCTTTTTCGTCCAATACGATGCGAACAATTTTTGTACTTTTCGCAATCTTATAGTACGAATTTTCGAATTTCCTAATGCCAAAATTAAAAAAAAAAAATCCTTTTTGGATGGTTACTGGGCAAAACAAATCTTTAAACTAAAATATGTAATGATGTTGGTGTGGAAGTTTCTATTAAAAGCGGGAAAACGCTTTGCTAATAATTTTCTTTTATGTTTAACTTTTGTCACGAAAACAACCACTTTCGAAGCATACCTTTAGGCTCTAAGTAAAATACAACCGTAAAACCAGTGGCGAAAGGGAAAAGTCGAACGGGTCTCCTTATTATGCCCTACGCCACTCTAAATAAGTTGGTGCTTCCCGTAATATATGTGTTAGCCTAATGTGGCCTTGTCTGGGTTAAATGCAAATTTTTAAGATTTTATGGAAATTGTATGAAACACGTTTTTAGCCAACAATTTTAGCATGACTGCTACTGAGTGAATTGGGAAATAATTTAAAACATATTGTGATGGGACCATGGTTTACAGGAAATCAGAGGGAATTACGCACACATGAATCTTTCTTTTTTCAAAAATAATGGACTCCTTTCTTGTTCTGGAAAAACAAGTAAAAAAGCTGTAAATTCGGCCGGGTCGATCTTTGAATACCCTCCACCATTTGGAACGATTTTGGCAATTTAAAAAAAAAAATAAATAAAATCCGTTAAAAATTCTGTTAAAATCTTAAAAATACCGATTGTAGCCGTTGTATTAGAAATCATCAAAATACCGAATATAGGGAGGTATTGGGGATATACGAAGACGTGGACCTGCACAGACAATTTTCTGTCATAGGCTGTAGTACCCATTACGAACTTCAATTACCAAATTTCAAACAATTCCGGTGAATAATGTCGCTAAAATCATCAAAGTACCGAATATCGGGAGGTACTGGTTTATGGGGGCTATACGAAGACCTGGAACTGAACAGACAATTTTCTGTCATAGGCTGTAGTACCCATTACGAACTTCAATTACCAAATTTGAAACAATTCCGATGAATAATGTCGCTAAAAGCATCAAAGTACCGAATATCGGGAGGTACCGTTATATGGGGGCTATATGAAGATGTGGACTTGCACAGACAATTTTCTGTCATAGGCTGTAGTACCCATTACGAACTTCAAATACCAAATTTGAAATAATTCCGGTCAATAATGTCGCTAAAATCATCAAAATACCGAATATCGGGAGGTACCATTATATGGGGCCTACACGAGAACCTGGACCTGCATAGACAATTTTCTGCCATAGGCTGCAGTACCCATTACGAACTTCAAATACCAAATTTGAAATAATTCCGGTCAATAATGTCGCTAAAATCATAAAAGTACCAAGGGAGGTACCGTTATATGGAGGCTATATGAAAGCGTGGACCTGCACAGACAATTTTCTATCATAGGCTGTAGTACCCATTACGAACTTCAAATATCAAATTTGAAACATTTCGGGTGAATAATTTCAATTTAATCACCAAAACACCGAAAAAAGAAAAAACGTGGACCTGCAGGACCCATTTTCAATACCAAAAGTCCTACAGACATAACACATTTGAGTAAAATTTTATTAATCTACTTCATTTCGGATAGACGGACGGACATAGAATTTTATGCTGATATATTTCGAGGTGTTACAAACGGAATGCCAAACTTAATACACCCTCCATGCTATGATGGAGGGTATAAAAAGACTCAGACAAAACTTCAACAAATTCCTAAAGATTGGATTTCCACCACTTAAACGGTGGACAAAAACCTTTAAAATACTGAAGCATCAGGCCACTAAGTTGTAGGCCTTATTTTTATAATGGATCTACCATTTAAACACACGCACATTTTTGTGACAATATTTTGAACGGCCTTAGTTGTTAAAATTTTTAAAACAAGAAGCAATTCGGCTGAAATGTTTATTTGGACTCCTCAAAATATATAAAATCGCACTGAATCTTAATATGAAACATAGTGGGTTCTGCACTACAATAAATAGAGGAAATTCTAACTCCTGTCGAATAAAGTAGAATATTTCCAAATATTCAAAATTCCATACATTCAATATTCTCAAAAGTGTTATTAATATCAATTTCCCTCTATATTATCTTCTCCTTTCCAACAGAATCCCGATCGTTACTACCCTGGTTTGAATAAACTCTTTAACAACTTAATCGATGTTGTGGAACCCCAGACATCTACTTTCCTTGACGGTACCATATCGATGGGTCAACTATTGGGTGATTTATATACGAAAAACTTCTTCACCTACAAGGGATCGCTGACGACTCCAGGTTGCTCCGAAGCTGTTTTATGGCATGTATTTCCCGATCCACTGCCCATCGCCCAAGAACACATTTATAAATTCTGGGATCTGTTGGATTCAACGGGCGCACCGTTGATCAATAATTATCGGCCAGTGCAGGGCGTAAATGGTCGTAAAATCTATTATAGGGTGGGATTCAAGACTCTTTAGGGGATAAGTTAGTGAGATTTAGTGGGAGCAATATTTTTTATTTATTTATTTAATTGTTATTTATTAAATTCGTTTGTAAGCTAGATATATGTAATTAAAAATATTTATTTAAGAAAAATTATAAAATTAATTAATAAAAACAAATAAAAATGAATAAAAACTAATAAATAAAAGTCTGCACAGAAAAAAAATATAAATTAACAAGTAAAAAAACAGTAAAATCTGCCGGGCCAAACTTTGAATACCCTCCACCATTTGAAACGAATTAGAAAATTTTCAAAAATAAAATCCATTAAAAATTCGGTTAAAATCTTTAAAATACCTAATATCGGAAGGTGCCGATATATGGGGGATATACGATATTGTGGATCTATATAGACAAATCTATGTCTGGGGGTAAAGTACTCACAAAGAACTCCTTGTTCAGAATTTCAGACAATTCCGTTTAAAATTGTGGCTAAAATCATCAAAATACCGAATATCGGGGGATACCGTTGTATAGGGGCTATACGATATCGTGGACCTATATAGACAATTCTCTTTCAGGGAGTAAAGTGGTCATAGAGAACTCCTTGTGTGGATTTTCAGACAGTTCAGTTGAAAAATTTATCTAAAATCGTCAAAATACCGAATATCGGGGGGTACCGTTATATGGGGGCTATACGATATCGTGGACCTATATAGACAATTCTCTTTCATGGGATAGAGTAAACAAACAAAATGATCGTGTTTACTTGCCAAAGAGGTCAGCTGAAAATGTGCACCTTCGGTTGGCCACCAGAACTCAAGCGCCCTTCATGGTGATAGTGTGTTCTTACGAAAATATTCTGAAGGGTATATTAAAGCCTTGGGCACGCAAACATTTTGGCTGCAGATTATTAATATCCTTTTCGGTAAACTTTAAAATGAAAGGTCTGGAAGACATTTTGATGTAAAAGCTAAACATATTCCTATTATTCTTTTCGGACTTTTATAAAAAAAACATTATCTAGGATTATCAGCCTTATAGGCGTGGTATTTTAAAGCTATTTCATAAATATTGTTAGAGGACTTTTAAGGACAATATTTTCAAGGATTATTAGAGCCTTAGGCGTGGACTTTCTAAGAAAAATTTTCCAAGGATTATTAGAGCCTTAGACGTGGACTTTCTAAGAAAAATTTTCCAAGGATTATTAGAGCCTTAGGCGTGGACTTTCTAAGAAAAAATTTCCAAGGATTATTAGAGCCTTAGGCGTGGACTTTTAAAGAATAATTTTCCAAGGATTATTAGAGTCTTAGGCATGGACTTTTAAAGACAATATTTTCAAGGATTATTAGAGCCTTAGGCGTGGACTTTTAAAGACAATCTTTTCAAGGATTTTTATAGCCTTAGGCGTGGACTTTTAAAGACAATCTTTTCAAGGATTTTTATAGCCTTAGGCGTGGACTTTTAAAGACAGTATTTTCAAGGATTATTAGACTCTTAGGCGTGGACTTTTAAAGACAATATTTTCAAGGATTATTAGAGCCTTAGGCGTGGACTTTTAAAGACAATATTTTCAAGGATTATTAGAGCCTTAGGCGTGGACTTTTAAAGACAATATTTTCAAGGATTATTAGAGCCTTAGGCGTGGACTTTTAAAGACAATATTTTCAAGGATTATTAGAGCCTTAGGCGTGGACTTTTAAAGACAATATTTTCAAGGATTATTAGAGCCTTAGGCGTGGACTTTTAAAGACAATATTTTCAAGGATTATTAGAGCCTTAGGCGTGGACTTTTAAAGACAATATTTTCAAGGATTATTAGAGCCTTAGGCGTGGACTTTTAAAGACAATATTTTCAAGGATTATTAGAGCCTTAGGCGTGGACTTTTAAAGACAATATTTTCAAGGATTATTAGAGTCTTAGACGTGGACTTTTAAAGACAATATTTTCAAGGATTATTAGAGTCTTAGGCGTGGTCTTTTAAAGACAATATTTTCAAGGATTATTAGAGCCTTAGGCGTGGACTTTTAAAGACAATATTTTCAAGGATTATTAGAGTCTTAGGCGTGGTCTTTTAAAGACAATATTTTCAAGGATTAGTAGAGTCTTAGGCGTGGTCTTTTAAAGACAATATTTTCAAGGATTAGTAGAGTCTTAGGCGTGGACTTTTAAAGACAATATTTTCAAGGATTATTAGAGTCTTAGGCGTGGACTTTTAAAGACAATATTTTCAAGGATTATTAGAGTCTTAGGCGTGGACTTTTAAAGACGATTTTTGAAGGATTCTTAGAGCCTTATGCCTGAACTTTTAAAGACGATTTTTGAAGGATTGTTAGAGCCTTAGGCGTGGACTTTTAAAGACAATATTTTCAAGGATTATTAGAGCCTTAGGCGTGGACTTTTAAAGACAATATTTTCAAGGATTATTAGAGCCTTAGGCGTGGACTTTTAAAGACAATATTTTCAAGGATTATTAGAGCCTTAGACGTGGACTTTTAAAGACAATATTTTCAAGGATTTTTAGAGCCTTAGGCGTGGACTTTTAAAGACAATATTTTCAAGGATTTTTAGAGCCTTAGGCGTGGACTTTTAGAGACAATATTTTCAAGGATTATTAGAGCCTTAGGCGTGGATTTTTAAAGACAATATTATGAAGAATTATAAAAGCCTTAGGCGTGGACTTTTAAAGATGATTTTTGAATGATTATTAGAACGTTAGGCGTGGACTTTTAAAGATAATATTTTCAAGGATTATTAGACTCTTAGGCGTGGACTTTTAAAGATAATATTTTCAAGGATTATTAGACTCTTAGGCGTGGACTTTTAAAGATAATATTTTCAAGGATTATTAGACTCTTAGGCGTGGACTTTTAAAGATAATATTTTCAAGGATTATTAGACTCTTAGGCGTGGACTTTTAAAGATAATATTTTCAAGGATTATTAGACTCTTAGGCGTGGACTTTTAAAGATAATATTTTCAAGGATTATTAGACTCTTAGGCGTGGACTTTTAAAGATAATATTTTCAAGGATTATTAGACTCTTAGGCGTGGACTTTTAAAGATAATATTTTCAAGGATTTTTAGAGCCTTAGGCGTGGACTTTTAGAGACAATATTTTCAAGGATTATTAGACTCTTAGGCGTGGACTTTTAAAGATAATATTTTCAAGGATTATTAGACTCTTAGGCGTGGACTTTTAAAGATAATATTTTCAAGGATTATTAGACTCTTAGGCGTGGACTTTTAAAGATAATATTTTCAAGGATTATTAGACTCTTAGGCGTGGACTTTTAAAGATAATATTTTCAAGGATTATTAGACTCTTAGGCGTGGACTTTTAAAGATAATATTTTCAAGGATTATTAGACTCTTAGGCGTGGACTTTTAAAGATAATATTTTCAAGGATTATTAGACTCTTAGGCGTGGACTTTTAAAGATAATATTTTCAAGGATTATTAGACTCTTAGGCGTGGACTTTTAAAGATAATATTTTCAAGGATTATTAGACTCTTAGGCGTGGACTTTTAAAGATAATATTTTCAAGGATTATTAGACTCTTAGGCGTGGACTTTTAAAGATAATATTTTCAAGGATTATTAGACTCTTAGGCGTGGACTTTTAAAGATAATATTTTCAAGGATTATTAGACTCTTAGGCGTGGACTTTTAAAGATAATATTTTCAAGGATTATTAGACTCTTAGGCGTGGACTTTTAAAGATAATATTTTCAAGGATTATTAGACTCTTAGGCGTGGACTTTTAAAGATAATATTTTCAAGGATTATTAGACTCTTAGGCGTGGACTTTTAAAGATAATATTTTCAAGGATTATTAGACTCTTAGGCGTGGACTTTTAAAGATAATATTTTCAAGGATTATTAGACTCTTAGGCGTGGACTGTTAAAGATAATATTTTCAAGGATTATTACAGCATTATTTCCAATATTTTCAAGGATTATTAGAGTCTTAGGCGTAGGTTTGTAAAAAAGATTTTTTCGAGGATTATCAGAACCTTAGATTTTTTTCAAGGGCATTTTCTAGTTACTGTGCAAAGTCCACAATTCAGTTCAAACTTTGCATATTGCAATTAAAGCAAGCTAAAGTTCCACCACATGATGAGAATATATATATCTTTCGGATTTACACTTTTTAATTTTTTCTTGTTTTTTGTTCAGGCAACAAGTTTTCTAGCATCAGGGAAATACGCGCAAACAAAATTCCAATACCATGACAATATATCGATGTTTAACCCACCTATAATAACTGGTCCACTGTGCGTTGAGCACACTCCATCGCGTTGAAGGCACATGCTGGTAGAAAACTGCGGGTGATTTTTTTTTTTTTTTTTTTGCAAAACTTTAGCTGAATTCAAAAACAAATTAATATTTCATCTCGTCTATGGAAAGTTTTGCCAAAATCAGACAAATAAATTTATATATTTGATTACCAGTTTTTTTTGTGATGAACCAAAATGATTTATCCGACTTGATCATATATGCCTATATGCAAATAGAAAATATGGTTCTATATATTTTTTCGGATGTGTGTCACAGTAAAACATGCATATATTAGCCAAATTTAGTTGCTTTTGGGTTGGAAACATAGACAATTTGGCATTTGTTTTTTGCAAATTTAAATATTTTTCGGTTTGTCAAAGGCCATTTTTCATAAAGCCAAAGGTTAGTGAACCGCCTACATTAGTTTTATAATTCCAAAGTTCAATAGTGACTCAGTTGAAAACATTGTCTTGTTTTTTTTTTAATTTTGGCAAATCATAATGACAATACATTTTTTTTTTCAAATAATATAAATTTTTGTTTTCGTCTTTGTTTTTCTAAATTTTGATGAAACTGAAAAATTGCTAAAAAATCCCATAGAAATTGGTAAAACCATTTTATGGTTAATGGCCACTGTAAGCCTGAGAGATAAACAACAATTAATTACAACCAACTCTAATGCGAAAATATGTACGAATCTGTGCAACCGATTATGTTTATGTCTTTTTTGGACTGGGATTTCATTATTTATTTTGGCAAAAAAATATGGGCCATTTTTTTTGCCGTCTTAACTTTGCCGAGTTTAGATGAACCGACCGACGGCAAACAAACAACGCATGCCGAGAAATTCCAGTTTTTGCCTTATGCTTGTCAAATGATGTTGACTATTTGCTATTTTGTTTTCAAATATTTTTTTATATGCTAATGTAATCGAAACTTAAATCATCAAAAGTCGCGGTTTCCTCCTCTTGATGGTTGCATATTCCGAAAGAAAAACAATATATAATATATTATATGTTCGATTATGCCTTTCAGTATAAGATCGAGTGAGCTCACACAAACAACTTTGAATGATAATAGTTTGGCAGACTAAATTTTTAAAGACAATATTGAAATTCCGCATAATATTAAAAGGATAATTGTGATAGGACTGAAACGGAAAGCAAAAAATTAATCAATAAAACCAAAAGTCAATAAATAATAGTTGATTAAAGAAAAAATACGGGTTTGAAAGAGGAAGTGTTATCATCGGAACGTATCAGCCAAGCAGAGAATGGTCGCCGCACAAGAATTGGTTAACCGATTGTATATTTTATTGCCGCTGGCCTATCCCTACAATGCTCCAATAAAAGGTAATTAAAATATCGTAAAATAAGAAATGTCCTTAAAATCACAAAAAGGACGATATTCTTTTAATCCTTATTTTCATGTTGAAAAATTCATACAGGATCGAACATAGCCCGCTTTATCATAATCTACAAAACAATGCTGCTTATCCTCTAAAGTATTCTTATTTTTGGACCAGCAAAAATACTGATTACAAACCTGATTACCACCTCATTATTTTTTCATGGGAGTATCGCAAAAAATAAGTTATTTTTGAATGCTGAAAGTCGATATATAAGTCATTTCAAAGTTCAAAAAAAACTTGTATTTTTTTGCGAAACGCCCTAGTTAAAAAATGGGTTGGTAAGCAGATTTGTAATGAGTATTTTCGCTGGATATGGTGCATTTTATTTGACCTCAATATGTATAAGGAAGTTTGCCAACCTTCGCATGTCAAGGAGTAGTAGCAGCTAACCATCGAAAATACTCATTGCAAATCGAACTACTAACCCTTTAATTCAAAAAAAGAGAGCACTTAGAATTTTACGCTAATCAAGGATATATATAATTTTTTGGGTCTGACATGAGTATTTCGAGAAGTTACAGACGGAATGTATGATGTAGGGTATAATAAATACTTATTTTGTGCAACAATCGAAAAGAGTGTCTATCCAGCAAAAATACTCATTACAAATCGAATTATCAGTCCTTTTTTAGCAAAGACGTGACACACGAAACAAGTACTTATTTTGTGGTCACTAAATGTCGATTAAATAAGTACCTATTTATCCGATTTAAGTGGCCAGAAAAAAATCCTATTTCATGCGACATTCCCTTGTAACAAAGTCAAAAGCCATAATTTTTAAATTTTATTGAATGAAAGCAAAAAATGTTGAAGAAAAAGTTTAGATTTGTTCGAATTGGACACCTTTGGTACGAATTATGGCCTTCAAACGGCCAATGAAACAGTCACACGCTGCCCGAATGTCGCTCTGCGGTATTTTGGTCCATTCCCGGCGAAGCCCTTGCTTTAGGTGATCGACACTTTAGTACTTTTTTGCGCCAACCTTGCTTTCCAAAATACTCCAGACACAATAGTTCAATGGATTGGTATCCGGAGATTTTGGTGGCCATTTTGCGAAAATATACTCAAAAGAGATAAAAAGCGAAGCAACTCTTTATCTCTTTTGAGTATATTTTCTATCTGTTGCGGTGTAAGTTCTTGCACTTTTTGGAGTTTTAATGGCTTTACCTCGAGCTCATTTTTTTTCAATATTTGCCGAATGGAATATTGCGATATGTTCAGCTCACGAACCATTTTCAGCCACTGCGACGCGGGTTTCGATCAAGTCGCATTATACTTTTCGAACCATTTCTACATATTTCCCAACTTTAATTCTCAAGATTTTGCCTTAACCCGTAAACAAAACAATCAGGTACCAAATTAGTGCCTTTAACTTCTTTTCGTACACATAACATTTGAATTTCCTAGAAATCCTCTGACACATCAATGCTACACTCAATCACAAGGTATATATAATTGTTCAGTATAAAAAATCCTATGTCGATTTAGGCATATCCGTCTGTTTGTCTGTCCCTCTATGGAAATCACCAGCCTCTGAACATAAAAAGAATGATGATAAAATTTTACTCAGATGTATTTAATTGGCATAGAAATGTTGGCATTGAAAATGGGGCATATAATTCCACGTCTTGAAATAGCCCCCCTTATAACGGTACAGCCAGATTTAAGATGTTTTGGATTTTTTAGTCAAAATTTAGTAAACCGAATTTGCTGTAAATTTACAGTATGGCTTCCCAGTATGTAGAGAGCATCCTTTCAAAACACTGTCCATATTGGTCCATGTTTTGGTACCCATTTTTTGTTTAAAATTTGGTATTTGGGATTCGTAATTTATGAAATTTACCTATACACGTCCATGTATATTCCCCATTTAATGGTACCTCCCGGAATCGTCGCAAAAGTTATATTATTACAAAAGGACCATCAACTATGGTAAATAATTGGCTATGCAGATCACGTTGTGTAAAGTCTCCTTCCAGCTGCACCACCCGATATTCGGTATTTTCATAATTTTGGCATCATTTTTCAATGACCCGGCCAAGCACAGCTTAATTATACCCTACACCACAAGGTGGTCAGGGAAACGAGATTGACCCATAGTTCCTTTTGACGATCTGCATAGAATCGCATGCTGAATCGATTTATGCATGTCCGTCCGTCTGTCCGTCGGTCTGTCCATGTATTTTTATTAACAAAGTACAGTTCGCATTTATTGCCCGATCCAGATGAAATTTTGCACAAATCATTTGTTTGGGCCAAGGACGAACCCTATTGAAATTGGAGATAATCGGTAAAAATTTAGATATAGCTCACATATATAACTTCGTCCGATTTACCTTTTATTGTGCACCAAACGTCTAATATTTGTCCAAATGGGATGCAATTTGGCACTTATGACCGAATTGAGTTTTGAAGCTAGTATGTCAAATTTGGTGAAGATCTGTTCATATATAGATATAGCTCTCATATATATTGTTCATTCGATTTGTTACCCACAGCCGTAATATGCACTCCGTAACAATGATATAAAATTTATCAAATACAGCTCAGAAATATCTTTGCCAAATTATATCGAGATCGGTTCAGATTTGGATATAGCTCCCATATATATCTTTATCAGATTTCAATTGATTGTGCACCAAATGGGCAATACAAGTCCGAATTTAAAAGATACAAATTCTTCGTCATATTTAGTCTTTTGAACTTTAAATTATAATTATAATCATAGCGTGTATGATTGAATTCTCCCATAAAAACTTTTAATTGTTATGTGGAGATCTAATAAATTAGCAAAGTGGTGTAGGGTATCATAAAGTCGCCCCGCTCATTTTTTATATCCTCTTCATTAAACGAGTAGAGGTTGTTATATAATTTCAGGTGTCTGCTATATTACAATTCTTGATTTTTGTTTTGTTACATACAGCAATTTAAGACAAAAAGAAATATTTTTTAAAATCAATTTCGAATAACACGTGCTGGTAAGAACACAATAACAATTGAATAAAACATTAAGTAGTAGACTGTTTATAAAAATTATACGAACAATAAAGGACAATTTTTGCGAAAAAGGTTTCTGACAACACCCACTCACCACAAAAACTTAAATTTTAAAATGATTAAAGAAATTAACATCTTCTATATCTATAAAGGAAAAATGTTTGTATGTTTGTTTGTAATTTATGGATTCGAAAACCTTTGAACCAATTTTCCTGAAAACTTCCAACATCGCCTGAAAGTAACATAGACTGTATAAATTTTTGAAATTCCACCTGGAACTGGAAATTTAGATTTTATATGCACATATCTATTAATAGATTACAGATACAGTCTCCAAATTAGGAATGCATAACGGAATTCGGAACAAAAATAAATTTGCCAAATTATATTGAAATCGGTTAAGATTTGGATATAGCTCCCATATATATTTTCAGCCGATAGCATTTTCAGCATTAAACACGCTATGTATGCCACATTTCAATGAAATTTGGAATGTGTGATGGAATTATATTGAAATCGGGTCAGATTTGGATATAGTCCCCATATACTTATTCTGCCGAATTCACATATTTGATGCACAAAACACGATCCGTTTGTCCGATTCCAATGAAATTCGGCATGAGTGACTACACGTGGTACAAAAATAAATTTGTCAAATTGAATTCAAATCGGTTCAGATTGGGATATGATTTTATTAAGAAGCATTGACCCACAACGCCTTTACAATGGTATTAGGCTAACAGTAAACAAGTTAAAAAGCAGTAAGCTCGGCCGGGTCGAACTTTGAATACCTTCCACCATTTGGATCGAATTTGGAAATTTTCAAAAAATAAAATTCTGTTAAAATTTTAATATATATAGCCGTTATATTGGGAACTATACAACGTGCACCTACATAGGCATTGTTTGTCATAAGCTATTACCATATTCAAATTCGAAACTTGAAATAAACAGTAAATAATGTAGCTAAAATCATCAATTTATGGTATATAGGGAGGTACCGTTATACCGGAGCTGTGCGAAGACCTGCACCTGCGAAGACCTGCACCATTACGAACTTCAAATACCACATCTCAAACAATTTCGATGGGTATTGTACCTAAAATCGTCAAAATACCGAATATAGGGAGGTACTGATATATGGGGCCCATACGAAGACCTGGACCTGCATAGACAATTTTCTGTCACAGACTGTAGTTCTCATAACGAACTCCAAAAATTCTGGTGAATAATGACGCTAAAATCATCATTGGGAGGTACCCTTATATGGGGGCTATACGAAGACGTGGACCTGCACCAACAATTTTCTGTCTTAGGGTGTAGTATCCGTTTCGAACTTCAAATACCAAGTTTGAAACAATTCCGCTGAATAATGTCGCTAAAATCTTAAAAATACCGAATATCGGGAGGTACCGTTATATGGGGGCTATATGAAAACGTGGACCTACATGGCCCATTTACGAACTTAACCTGCCTACTGGAAAAATAAACATGTGTGCAAAATTTTAGCCATCTATCTCAATTTATTCGAAAGATAGCGTGATTACAACAGACAGACTAACAGACAGACGGACAGACAGACAGACAGACAGACAGACAAACAGACAGACGGACATCGCTAAATCGACTTAGAATTTTACGCTGATCAAGAATATATATACTTTGTTGAGTCCGACATGAGTATTTCGAGGAGTTACAAACGGAATGACAAAATTAATATACCCTCCATAGTATTGTGGAAGGTATAAAAACGACACAACAATTTAATTAAGGATACGATTATTACGGGGAAATGTGTTGCTACCTCGAAGTCACTAATTGCAACAGAAAACAGAAATGCCCCGCTTGGCATTTACTATGAAATTAATAAATCAGAATGACAAACCCTTCGTGTATGCATGGCATGTTCCTGCTTTTCTCATGGTTTTGTTCATTTACGCATTAAAGTAGTACAATAGATTTTTTTAATTTTTGATTTTTTTTTATTATTCGTATATAAAATTTTGAAATTTGTCTAGGATATTCTCCCTAGAAGTTATTTTTAAATAATTCCCATTAAAATAAAACTACCTACAATTTTTATACCATTCGAAACGTGCCAACTGAGGTGTGGCACGTGTTTTCTTTTAATCCATAAATTGTCTAGGTTAGTTCTGTTTGTTTTCTAATATCATACATATATATATATATATATGTATTTATGTTTGTGTATGCAAATACAAACAAATAAAAAATTAATATTCATATTTTCGACGACATACTGTCTGACTGTCTACAGATTCTATGAAAAACAAATCATTCTGAAATTAATATTGTTTTTGTTTTTTCTTTTTTTTTTCGATTTCTGTTTTCAGCTGTCACACCTCCAGCCAACTGGACCTACGACAATGCACCAAATTGGTCGGCAGATCATCCGGAATGTGGTGGCAATCACCAGTCGCCAATTCACATAAAAACATCAACGGTAAGTTGTTGTTGCTGCATTTGTTGTCTTAGACAAACCATAAAAAATATTCAAATGCCAATTTTAATCCAGTATATTCCACCTTTGTTGTGGTTGTTGTTGGCTTTGCATTTAATTCATTTTATTTGTTTACGATATTTTGGAATTTAATTCGCCTGTTAGCTGATCATAAATAATATTTGGTTTTGCTTTTGTTTTGTTTTCTTCTGCACCACCACCGCAAACAAGGTTAGTAGGTTGTTGAGAAGTTAGGCATTATTGACTTTTTTGGGGGGTATTATTGTTTGTTGTATTATATTTTGTTGTTGTTTTTAGCAAAGTTGTCTTTTATCTGATAAGGTCAATAAGCATCAATTAATTAAGGTTGTCAACTCAAAATTTCCACTATTTTGAAATTAGCGAAATTTTGATTGGGAGGAGATTTGTTTTGGCAATTAATTTTGTACACGAAATGCTTTTTCTATGCAAATTAGAGGCATAGTTTTGTGGGATTTTTTGAGAATTCAGTATACGTCGTTGATATTGATTACAAAACTAATTGTTTTGAAATTTTCCATTACATGGCTTTTTGTGATGGGAAATCAAAGGCTTGAGGAATTAAATAAATATTTATTGTTATCTGAAACCATAAATAAAACGTTTGAAGATGTCATGTGACCGTTTAGTGGTCAGAATGGAAAATTGCCTAAAATAAGTTTTGAAGTGAAGTAATAGATTTTTACTCCCGATATCGACACGTGGGCCGCAATGTCTTAAATGTAAAAACAAACCATTACATAAAATAATTACAGGAAATTGTCAATAAACATGCATCTTCATGACTAGAAGATTCCCATTAGATATACGAAAGAATCATTTAAAAGTCATTTACCTATAGAAGAATAATTTTGTAATTTCTGCCAGAATTAAAAAAAAAATTTAAATAAATAAGCAAAGGTTATAGACGTGCGGGGCGACCATGTGATACCCTACAACACTGCAATATGTTGGAAGCCCCCTGATGCCCAAATCTATTTTAGAAGATTTCGTTTTTCAAATAATGCAGATACCACACTTAGTTTTTGACCAGGGGCATTTCTAAAAATATTCGCGGTTTTTCGTATTTTTTGACAAAAATAAGTTATGGTTTAATTTACCCACTAAATATTGTCCGATGACCGCACAATTTAACTCCTTGAAAAATTCCACGTCGATTGGCCTGTTAAATCAAAAATTTTAATACCCTCCACCATACTATGGAGGGTATATTAATTTTGTCATTCCGTTTCAAAGCTCGACTCTTGAAAAAAACTCGACTTGACTCAGCGTAAAATCCTATGTCGATTTAGCGATGTCTGTTGTAATCACGCTATCTTTCGAGTGAATTGAGATAGATGGCTTAAATTTTGTACACATGTTTATTTTTTCAGTAGGCAGGTTAAGTACGTAAATGGGCCATGTAGGTCCACGTTTTCATATAGCCCCCATGTAACGGTACCTCCCGATATTCGGTATTTTGAAGATTTTAGCGACATTATTCGTTTCAAATTTGGTATTTGAAGTTCGAAATGGATACTTCACCCTAAGACAGAAAATTGTCTGTGCAGGTCCAAGTCTTCGTATAGCCCCCATATAAGAGTACCTCCCAACATTCGGTATTTTGATGATTTTAGAGTCATTATTCACCAGAATTGTTTCAAATTACGTATTTTGAGTTCGTTATGGGAACTACAGTCTGTGACAGAAAATTGTCTATGCAGGTCCAGGTCTTCGTATAGGCCCCATATATCAGTAACTCCCTATATTCGGTATTTTGCAAACATTAGGTACAATACCCATCGAAATTGTTTGATATGTAGTATTTGAAGTTCGTAATGGATGCTACAGCTTGTGACAGAAAACTGTATATGCAGGTGCAAGTCTTCGCACAGCTCCGGTATAACGGTACCTCCCGATATTCGGTATTTTGATGATTTTAGCTACATTATTCACTGTTTATTTCAAGTTTCGAATTTGAATGTGGTAATGTCTTATGACAAATAATGCCTATGTATGTGCACGTCGTATAGACCCCAATATAATGGTTATATTTGGTATTTTTAAAATTTTGACAGAATTTTTTAAGAATTTTATTTTTTGAAAATTTCCAAATTCGTTCCAAAGGTGGAGGGTATTCAAAGTTCGGCCCGGCCGAACTTACTGCTTTTTAACTTGTTTTTTTCTGTTTTTGGTCCATTCCAACCCCTAAAAATTTTGCGATCATCTCCAAAAACAATATGGTCCTGACCCTCACCCCACCTCTATTTTTCTATATCGTGAGGATTGGGCCATAATTGCGACCTGTAGCTTCATTACATATTAACATGGACGGACAGACATACATAGTTAGATCGACTAAGCTCGGCGAGATAGGAAGATGCATATATACTATATAGAAAAATATCCATGTTGATTTTGTGAAGAAATGGGTCTGGAATCCTCAAATTTGATATTGAGGTCTCAGTTGATGTCTGGAATTGAGATATGAAGGTAGTTTTGGAAATGTGTATATTTAATTGTTTCAAAAGAACTAAGCGGTACTGAACGGGTACTGGGCGAAGGGATAGAGGTGGAATCCCAAAATTTCATATGGATGCCCCTGGAAATGGGAAATGGAAATGGGAAATTGCAGAGCTGAATTCTATAATTGTATATTATGGTCGCTGTTGGTATCTGAGGTTGTGATATGTAGAATTTTGTGAGTACTTTAACTGTACGAAAATATTTAAATGGTACTAAATTTGTTATTGGATGAAAGGATAGGGCTGGAACCCTGAATAACTGAGTTGTACTATGTAAATTAATGTCTGTAAAAATGTTGAGCTTTTGTGGAGGAGTTACCACATCTCCGAACTCGATCTAAGTTTGATAACTATATTACGATGAACCAAGTTTGGACGAAACGATTGCTCCCTCCGCGCGCAACAACTATCCAATTGTCAACTGAAGCTAGCTGGCAGATAGATAGACGGACGGACGAAAGAACTCCCATAGAACGACTCCAAATGTCTAGACCGTTATTTCGATGAGGCACGTTTTGGCCGTATCAAACCATCTGCAACCCTTTTGCTTGAGGGTAAAAAAATCCTCCGAAAAATTCTTGAAAATGTCTCTGAAAATAATTCTTTAAAAGAAGACATTAGTAGTTCCAATTACAATTTTTTTTAAAAATCTTTCTCAAAAAATCCCCTTAAAAACTCATTCTTAAAACATCGTTCAAACATATTTCTTGAAAAATCCACATTTATTGGTTTGCTAAAAAATATTTTTGAAAAATACACATTGACAGATCTTTTCGTTCCCGTAAATAGCTGTAATATTTTTATACTAGAGGTTAACATGGAAATAAATTTTCCGTTATAATTATGACCTTCCCAAGCCAATTGCCTTTAGCGAATTTTTAATACAGCAATAAATTATATTTCTGTGGCATTAATAAAATAATTTGTTTGCCTTCTTTTTTTTAGAGTTACGCTTCAGCAATGGCACCACTAAAATTCGGTTACTATGACCTACCGCTGGCGGGAAATATTACCATAAAAAATAATGGTCATTCAGGTGAGTAGGCCAGAGCATAGACCACAAACACACATTTGAAGATGATGACATTTCATAAATGTAATATATTTTTTTATTTTTCTTTAATTTTATTGTTTGGGTGTTGTGTACAGTCGATTTCGAGGTGCCACCAACGTTGAATGGCCGAAGACCTTTTGTCACCGGCAGTATTCTCCACAGCAAATACGAAGCTGTGGGTGTGCATTTCCATTGGGGCAGCACAAATTCAAAGGGTTCGGAGCATATGATTGACGATCGGCGGTTTGATGTTGAAATGCATATTGTGCATAAGAATGTGTTGTATCCAACTCTGGAGGAGGCCACCAAACATGTGGATGGTTTGACGGTGTTGGGTGTGATGTTCAAGGGGACTAGAGTAAGTCTTTTTGTGATGGATTTTTGTAAAAATATTTTAATGTCTTTTGATTTTCTAGGACGTTGATCGCATCTATCCCGGTTTGAACATGATATTCAACCGACTTCCCGATTTGGTGGAAATGGATTCCAACTCAACTCTGCCCGGTGGCCACATGACATTGGGTCATATTTTAGGTGATTTGAATACCAAGACATTCTTCACCTATACTGGTTCACTGACCACCCCCGGCTGTGCAGAAGCTGTTACATGGCATGTCTTCCCTGAACCCCTTCCCATTGCCTTTGAAAACATTGAAAAGTTTTGGAATATTCAAGATGCCAATGGAGATCAAATGACCGATAATTATCGGCCATTGCAGGAACTCAATGGCCGTGTGATTCTCTATCGCGGCGGAAGTTATTAAATCAAGTATTAAAAAATTGTATCTCTGTTTTTTTTTTTCAATCAATGAAATACTGTGTATTTTATTGTCGTATTTATTGTAAAAATTCATTTCATATAGAAAAATTACATTAATTTTCATTATAAATAAATTTTGAATAAAAGATTTAAAAATTATATAGGAAAGAATGGATTTTTCTAAATAATATTTTTTAAGGACCTAAAGAAAAGTTTTCTTCTAGGACCAAATAATGAGGATTTTTTAAAGAATAGCTTTTCCAAGGATTAAATAATGGAGATTTTTTAAAGAATATTTTTTTCCAAGGACCAATAAACCTGATCAAAAAATAAAAGTGGATTTTTTAAAGAATATTTTTTACAAGGACCAATAAACGTGGATTTTTTAAAGAATATTTTTTTTCCAAGGACCAATAAAAGTGGATTTTTTATAGAATATTTTTTACAAGGACCAATAAACGTGGATTTTTTAAAGAATATTTTTTTCCAAGGACCAATAAAAGTGGATTCTTTAAAGAATATTTTTAACAAGGACCAATAAACGTGGATTTTTTAAAGAATATTTTTCTTCCAAGGACCAATAAACGTGGATTTTTTAAAAAATATTTTTTTCCAAGGACCAATAAACGTGGTTTTTTTTAAAGACTATTTTTTTCCAAGGACCAAAAAACGTGGATTTTTTAAAGAATATTTTTTCCAAGGACCAATAAACGTGGATTTTTTAAAGAATATTTTTTTCCAAGGACCAATAAACGTGGATTTTTTAAAGAATATTTTTTTCCAAGGACCAATAAACGTGGATTTTTTAAAGAATATTTTTTTCCAAGGACCAATAAACGTGGATTTTTTAAAGAATATTTTTCTTCCAAGGACCAATAAACGTGGATTTTTTAAAGAATATTTTTTTCCAAGGACCAATAAACGTGGATTTTTTAAAGAATATTTTTTCCAAGGACCAATAAACGTGGATTTTTTAAAGAATATTTTTTCCAAGGACCAATAAACGTGGATTTTTTAAAGAATATTTTTCTTCCAAGGACCAATAAACGTGGATTTTTTAAAGAATATTTTTTCCAAGGACCAATAAACGTGGATTTTTTAAAGAATATTTTTTTCCAAGGACCAATAAACGTGGATTTTTTAAAGAATATTTTTTTCCAAGGACCAATAAACGTGGATTTTTTAAAGAATATTTTTTTCCAAGGACCAATAAACGTGGATTTTTTAAAGAATATTTTTCTTCCAAGGACCAATAAACGTGGATTTTTTAAAGAATATTTTTTTCCAAGGACCAATAAACGTGGATTTTTTAAAGAATATTTTTTTCCAAGGACCAATAAACGTGGATTTTTTAAAGAATATTTTTCTTCCAAGGACCAATAAACGTGGATTTTTTAAAGAATATTTTTCTTCCAAGGACCAATAAACGTGGATTTTTTGAAGAATATTTTTTCCAAGGACCAATAAACGTGGATTTTTTAAAGAATATTTTTTCCAAGGACCAATAAACGTGGATTTTTTAAAGAATATTTTTTTCCAAGGACCAATAAACGTGGATTTTTTAAAGAATATTTTTTTCCAAGGACCAATAAACGTGGATTTTTTAAAGAATATTTTTTTCCAAGGACCAATAAACGTGGATGTTTTAAAGAATATTTTTTTCCAAGGACCAATAAACGTGGATTTTTTAAAGAATATTTTTTCCAAGGACCAATAAACGTGGATTTTTTAAAGAATATTTTTTTCCAAGGACCAATAAACGTGGATTTTTTAAAGAATATTTTTTTCCAAGGACCAATAAACGTGGATTTTTTAAAGAATATTTTTTTCCAAGGATTAATGAACGTGAATTTTTTAAAGAATATTTTTTTCCAAGGATTAATGAACGTGGATTTTTTAAAGAATATTTGTTTCCAAGGATTAATGAACGTGGATTTTTTAAAGAATATTTTTTTCCAAGGACCAATAAACGTTGATTTTTTAAAGAATATTTTTTTCCAAGGACCAATAAATGTGGATTTTTAAAGAATATTTTTTCCTAGGACAAATAAACGTGAATTGTTTAAAGAAATTTTTTTTACCAAGGACCAATAAACATGGATTTTTTAAAGAATATTTTTTGCAAAGGACCAATAAACGTGGATTTTTTTAAAGAACATTTTTTTCCAAGGACTAACAAACGGGGATTTTTTAAAGAATATTTTTTTCCAAGGACTAACAAACGGGGATTTTTTAAAGAATATTTTTTCCAAGGACCAATAAACGTGGATTTTTTAAAGAATATTTTTTTTTCCAAGGACTAACAAACGGGGATTTTTTAAAGAATATCTTTTTCCAAGGACTAACAAACGGGGATTTTTTAAAGAATATTTTTTTCCAAGGACCAATAAACGTGGATTTTTTAAAGAATATTTTTTTTCCAAGGACTAACAAACGGGGATTTTTAAAAGAATATTTTTTTTCCAAGGACCAATAAACGGGGATTTTTTAAAGAATATTTTTTTCCAAGGACCAATAAACGTCGATTTTTTAAAGAATATTTTTCTTCCAAGGACCAATAAACGTGGATTTTTTAAAGAATATCTTTCTTCCAAGGACCAAAAAACTTGGATTTTTTAAAGAATATTTTTTTCCAAGGACTAACAAACGGGGATTTTTTAAAGAATATTTTTTCCAAGGACCAATAAACGTGGATTTTTTAAAGAATATTTTTTTTTCCAAGGACTAACAAACGGGGATTTTTTAAAGAATATCTTTTTCCAAGGACTAACAAACGGGGATTTTTTAAAGAATATTTTTTTCCAAGGACCAATAAACGTGGATTTTTTAAAGAATATTTTTTTTCCAAGGACTAACAAACGGGGATTTTTAAAAGAATATTTTTTTTCCAAGGACCAATAAACGGGGATTTTTTAAAGAATATTTTTTTCCAAGGACCAATAAACGTCGATTTTTTAAAGAATATTTTTCTTCCAAGGACCAATAAACGTGGATTTTTTAAAGAATATCTTTCTTCCAAGGACCAAAAAACTTGGATTTTTTAAAGAATATTTTTTTTCATGGATCAATAAACGTGGATTTTTTAAAGAATATTTTTTCCAAGGATCAATAAACGTGGATTTTTTTAAGAATATTTTTTTCCAAGGACCAATAAACGTGGATTTTTTAAAGAATATCTTTTTCCAAGGACCAATAAACGTGGATTTTTTAAAGAACATTTTTTCCAAGGACCAATAAACGTGGATTTTTTAATGAACATTTTTTCCAAGGACCAATAAACGTGGATTTTTTAAAGAACATTTTTTCCAAGGACCAATAAACGTGATTTTTTTAAGAATATTTTTGCAAAGTCGCATATAAAGGTACATAAATAAATATGTAGTCAAATACTGAGTGTATCAATGGAATACCCAGTGAAGCTTTCTAACTTGTTTTCGTGGAAAATTTGTACAGACTAATTAATTTGGGGTTTTTGCAGAGTAATTCTTAATGGAACTATAAATCTATTAAAGTTGTTGTTTATTTGTGACGGTTATTTTTTTGCTTATAATCGTCCACTAAAAGTAATTAACTTATCACAACTTCACCCCGTTTTCAAAACATACCTAACATTTCACAAAAATATATAGTTCTCAAACTAGTTCTGCAACAAAAAAAATATATATTTGAAATTTAAAAAATTAATTTATAACATTGTATCCGGTAATATTCATTGTTCCAAAAAAAAATACTGCATTTATTATTTTAAAGAGTGTATTTAACAAAAAAAAAATTGGCTAATGACAAACAGACAAATTTCGCTGCAGAATAAAGAGATGCTGGTCCCATGTCATCCAAAAACGAAACAGTTCTTTTTAAACCTCAGAACAAAGCGGTCGTGGACTAAGATCGAAAGAATTTCGTTTAAAACATGGTATTAGTACGGAGAATATTATACAATATATTGCCGTTGTTCCTTGCCCGCCCGGCAGCTGTCCGGCTACCAGGTATTAATATTGTGAAGGCAGTCATCTATGCAGAGATAACTCACGGAATCTTGAATTATTTAATAAATTAATTGTTTTTATTGATACACTTGATTGGGGGGAAAGTTGAATAAACTTTTTTAAATTGACCAATTACTTTTTGAGGAAATAAAAAATAGAGATTGATAATAAAATGGACTGGGAGAATCAAGTGTTAAAGAATCCATGTCTTTATATTATAAACAAGTAAAAAAGCTTCAAGTTCAGCTGGGCCGAACTTTGAATACTCTCCACCATTTGAAACGAATTTGGCAATTCTCAAAAACAATAAAGTCTTTTACAAATTCTGTTAAAATCTTAAAATTAATAAATGGAGCCGTCATATTAGGGTCTATACGAGGACATAGACCTGCATAGGTAACTTTTGTCATAAGCCAATGCAATATTCAAATGCGAAACTTAAAAAAAGATCGGTCGTAGATAGTGTAGCTAAAATCATCAAAATACCGAATATCGGGAGGTACCGTTATATTGGGGCTATACGAAGACGTGGACCTGCAAAGACAATTTTCTGGCTTAGGCCGTAGTATCCGTTACGAACTTCAAAAACCAAATTTGATAGAATTCCGGTGAATAATGTCGCTAAAATCATCAAAATACCGAATAACGGGAGGTATCGTTATATGGGGGCTATACGAAGACGTGGACCTGCTCAGACAATCTCCTGTCTAAGCCGTAGCATCCATTACGAACTTTAAATACCAAATTTAAAACGATTCTGGTGAATAATGTCGATAAAATCCTCAAAATACCGAATATCGGGAGGTACCATTACATGGGGGCTATACAAAAACGTGGAGTTACATGGGCCATTTTCAATACCAAAAGTCTTACAGACATTATATACATTTGAGTAAAATTTTATCAAACTACTTCAATTCGTTCGGAAGCTAGAGTGATTTCCACAGACGGATAGACGGACGGCCGTCGCTAAATCGACATCGAATTTTATGCTGATCGAGAATATATACACCTTGTGGGGTCCAAAATGTATATTTCGAGGTGTTACAAACGGAATGATACACTTAAGATACCCTCCATACTATGGTGGAGGGTATAAAAATAATAATTTCCTCCTTCCAATAGCATCGTCAATTTAAAATCACAAAATTCCATTTTTCCTTGCAGTTATTTGCCTTCGCATTGATATTAAACAGATATATTTAAAATAATTTATCTTAACTCAAATATTTATTGCTTTCTCAATTACCAATTCAAATGTTTTTATTTCGAAACAATTGGGTTATTTTGAAAGCAAACAACAAACCCACAAAAAATAGCTTGTGTTCCGAAACAGATTCTGATTCTTGTTTCGAACAAAGTCTATTATATTGGCATTGAATGAAAATCCCAACTTTCTTTTATATACAATTATAATTAATTATTTCACAATTTATAGAACAAAACGAATATAGACAAATAATAATTATTGAAGACATTAAAAAAAAATATTCCATTATTTTGGCAAACAAACACAGAATTACTGAAAAGGGAATTCCATTTCCTCCATACATATAAAATGACTTGAGGTTATCAAAAATGGAACCAGTTTTTATGCAAAACTCCTACAGTTCTGCATTACTTTCTAGGAAATAGGCGGGAAATTGTTTTTTCTTAATTTTAAGATGACCGAAGTATTTAAAATTTTAATAATTTTATTACCATTTATGTGTATACTAGGCTTTACAAAAGGTATAAAAAATATTTAAAATTAATTGCTATACGACTAAGTTTTATTATAAATTTACATTTGCCCAAAAATGTAATTCTTTTAGGGGTGTTCAATTTATTGATATTAAATTTTAATTACGTTTTTTATTTCCTTTCAATTCCAGCGGCAAGTGAATGGACCTATGAAGGAGTACTAACATGGGGCAGCAAGTTTCCAAAATGTAATGGAGCACGACAATCACCAATACATCTTCAAACTTCTAAGGTAAGTGAAAAATATTCTTTAAAAAATCCACGTTCATTAATCCTTGAAAAAAAATATTCTTTAAAAAATCCACGTTCATTAATCCTTGAAAAAAAATATTCTTTAAAAAATCCACTTTCATTAATCCTTGGAAAAAAATATTTTTTAAAAAATCCACTTTCATTAATCCTTGGAAAAAAATATTCTTTAAAAAATCCACGTTCATTAATCCTTGGAAAAAAATATTCTTTAAAAAATCCACGTTCATTAATCCTTGGAAAAAAATATTCTTTCAAAAAATTAATCCTTGGAAAAAAATATTCTTTCAAAAAATTAATCCTTGGAAAAAAATATTCTTTAAAAAATTCACGTTTATTAGTCCTTGGAAAAAAATACTCTTTCAAAAAATTAATCCTTGGAAAAAAATATTCTTTAAAAAATCCACGTTCATTAATCCTTGGAAAAAAATATTCTTTAAAAAATCCACGTTCATTAATCCTTGGAAAAAAATATTCTTTAAAAAATCCACGTTCATTAATCCTTGTAAAAATATATCTTTTAAAAAATCAACGTTCATTAATCCTTGGAAAAAAATATTCTTTAAAAAATCCACGTTCATTAATCCTTGGAAAAAATATTCTTTAAAAAATCCACGTTCATTAATTCTTGGAAAAAAATATTCTTTAAAAAATCCACGTTCATTAATCCTTGGAAAAAAATATTCTTTAAAAAATCCACGTTCATTAATTCTTGGAAAAAAATATTCTTTAAAAAATCCACGTTCATTAATCCTTGGAAAAAAATATTCTTTAAAAAATCCACGTTCATTAATCCTTGGAAAAAAATATTCTTTAAAAAATTCACGTTCATTAATCCTTGGAAAAAAAAATATTCTTTAAAAAATCCACGTTTATTGGTCCTTGGAAAAAACTATTCTTTAAAAAATCCACGTTTATTGGTCCTTGAAAAAAATATTCTTTAAAAAATCCACGTTCATTAATCCTTGGAAAAAAATATTCTTTAAAAAATTCACGTTCATTAATCCTTGAAAAAAAATATTCTTTAAAAAATCCACGTTTATTGGTCCTTGGAAAAAACTATTCTTTAAAAAATCCACGTTTATTGGTCCTTGAAAAAAATATTCTTTAAAAAATCCACGTTCATTAATCCTTGGAAAAAAATATTCTTTAAAAAATCCACGTTCATTAATCCTTGGAAAAAAATATTCTTTAAAAAATCCACGTTCATTAATCCTTGGAAAAAAAATATTCTTTAAAAAATCCACGTTCATTAATCCTTGGAAAAACTATCCACGTTTATTAATCCTTGGAAAAAAAATATTCTTTAAAAAATCCACGTTAATTAATCCTTGGAAAAAATATTCTTTAAAAAATCCACGTTCATTAATCCTTGGAAAAAATATTCTTTAAAAAATCCACGTTCATTAATCCTTGGAAAAAAAATATTCTTTAAAAAATCCACGTTCATTAATCCTTGGAAAAAAATATTCTTTAAAAAATCCATTTCATTAATCCTTGGAAAAAAATATTCTTTAAAAAATCCACGTTCATTAATCCTTGGAAAAAAATATTCTTTAAAAAATCCACGTTCATTGGTCCTTGGAAAAAAAATTCTTTAAAAAATCCAGGTTCATTAATCCTTGAAAAAAAAATTTTTTAAAAAATCCAGGTTCATTAATCCTTGGAAAAAAATATTCTTTAAAAAATCCACGTTCATTAATCCTTGGAAGAAAAATATTCTTTAAAAAATCCACGTTCCTTGGAAGAAAAATATTCTTTAAAAAATCCACGTTCTTAATCCTTGGAAAAAATAGTCTTTAAAAAATCCACTTTTATTGGTCTTTGGAAGAAAAATATTCTTTAAAAAATCCACGTTCATTAATCCTTGGAAAAAAATATTCTTTAAAAAAACCACGTTTATTAATCCTTGGAAAAAAATATTCTTTAAAAAATTCACGTTTATTAATCCTTGGAAAAAAATATTCTTTAAAAAATCCACGTTTATTAATCCTTGGAAAAAAAATATTCTTTAAAAAATTCACGTTTATTAATCCTTGGAAAAAAATATTCTTTAAAAAATCCACGTTCATTAATCCTTGGAAAAAAATATTCTTTAAAAAATCCACGTTCATTAATCTTTGGAAAAAAATATTCTTTAAAAAATCCACGTTCATTAATCCTTGGAAAAAAATATTCTTTAAAAAATCCACGTTCATTAATCCTTGGAAAAAAATATTCTTTAAAAAATCCACGTTCATTAATCCTTGGAAAAAAATATTCTTTAAAAAATCCACGTTCATTAATCCTTGGAAAAAAATATTCTTTAAAAAATCCACGTTCATTAATCCTTGGAAAAAAATATTCTTTAAAAAATCCACGTTCATTAATCCTTGGAAAAAAATATTCTTTAAAAAATTCACGTTCATTAATCCTTGGAAAAAAATATTCTTTAAAAAATCCACGTTAATTAATCCTTGAAAAAAAATATTCTTTAAAAAATTCACATTCATTAATCCTTGGAAAAAAATATTCTTTAAAAAATCCACGTTTATTGGTCCTTGGAAAAAAATATTCTTTAAAAAATCCACGTTTATTGGTCCTTGGAAAAAAATATTCTTTAAAAAATCCACGTTTATTGGTCCTTGGAAAAAAATATTCTTTAAAAAATCCACGTTTATTGGTCCTTGGAAAAAAATATTCTTTAAAAAATCCACGTTTATTGGTCCTTGGAAAAAAATATTCTTTAAAAAATCCACGTTTATTGGTCATTGGAAAAAAATATTCTTTAAAAAATCCACGTTTATTGGTCCTTGGAAAAAAATATTCTTTAAAAAATCCACGTTTATTGGTCCTTGGAAAAAAATATTCTTTAAAAAATCCACGTTTATTGGATCTTGGAAAAAAATATTCTTTAAAAAATCCACGTTTATTGGATCTTGGAAAAAAATATTCTTTAAAAAATCCACGTTTATTGGTCCTTGGAAAAAAATATTCTTTAAAAAATCCACGTTTATTGGTCCTTGGAAAAAGATATTCTTTAAAAAATCCACGTTTATTGGTCCTTGGAAAAAAATATTCATTAAAGAATCCACGTTTATTGGTCCTTGGAAAAAAGTATTCTTTAAAAAATCCACGTTTATTGGTCCTTGGAAAAAAATATTCTTTAAAAAATCCACGTTTATTGGTCCTTGGAAAAAGATATTCTTTAAAAAATCCACGTTTATTGGTCCTTGGAAAAAAATATTCATTAAAGAATCCACGTTTATTGGTCCTTGGAAAAAAGTATTCTTTAAAAAATCTACGTTTATTGGTCCTTGGAAGAAAAATACTCTTTAAAAAATCCACGTTCATTAATCCTTGGAAAAAAATATTCGTTAAAAAATCCACGTTCATTAATCCTTGGAAAAAAACATTCTTTAAAAAATCCAAATCATTAATCCTTGGAAAAAAATATTCTTTAAAAAATCCACGTTTATTGGTCTTTGGAAAAAAATATTAGTGGTCCTTAAACAAATTTTCTTTGAAAGTCCACTTTTATGCTTCGTTGAAAATAATTGGTTTTAAAAAATATCTTCTTCCCATTTTTTTTTTTGTTTGTTATAAATAAAATGTTTCCCATTATTAAAAAAAATTCCACTGACAAAGAATTCTCATCCATTATTTAATAACTTTTCCATTATTTAATAAATTTTCCATTATTTAATAAGTTTATGGTTGGTTGACACTAAGTCAAGTCTAAAAAAAAGTTGTTTACACCTCGTTAAAAATTGGTACTTAAAAATATTCTTTATATCTTTATTTTTTTTCAGTCATATTTCCCACCACTAGCACCCATAACATTCACCAACTATAATGTTCCACTGGCTGGCAATTTGGTCGTGAAAAATAATGGTCATTCAAGTGAGTAGCAAACGAATAACAATTACCTCATATATTTAAATACCATGTTCTATGAATTTATATCTCCCTTCCCCTTTTCAGTTGAAATGGAAATCCCGCCAACCACAAATGGTGCCCGACCCCGTATCAGCGGTGCCAAGTTGCCGGGAATTTTTGAAGCCATGGGTTGTCATTTTCATTGGGGTAGTCGAACTAGTAGGGGTGCCGAGCATGTCATCAATGGCCAACGCTACGATGCTGAGCTGCATATTGTCCACAAAAATGTCAGATACGCCACAATTGCCGAGGCTGCAGCCAATCCAGATGGTCTGGCGGTACTGGGTATTATGATTAATATTGGAAGGGTAAGTTGGAAAATTGTAAAATTCGATCGTTGTATTCAATTCAATTTTCTCTATTTCCAGAATGTCAATCGCATTTATCCCGGTCTAAATGATATCTTCAATCGTCTACCCAATTTGATCAATTACCAATCCAGTGTACCCTTGGGCCGTCAAATAACGCTGAGTCAATTGCTGGGAGATGTGAACACAAATCAATTTTACACCTATGAAGGTTCTCTTACTACGCCCGATTGTTCGGAGGCCGTCTGCTGGAATGTCTTCCCTCAACCACTTTACATCCCCCTCGCCCAAATGCAAAAATTCTGGGCGATTCGTGATAACAAGGGAGCACCGATGATAAATAATTTCAGACCTGTGCAAGCGTATAATAATCGCGTTATATTTGCTCGTGGTTGATATTTTATTTCATTTTTTTGTTATTCTAAGTAATAAATGTGATCGAAACATATCTAAATTTATATTTTATGATTTTTTAAGGAGTGTTTTTTTTAAATCCAGGATTTTTGGTTCTTGAAAAGAATAAATTTTAAAAAATTCAGAATTATTGGTCCTTATTGGTTCCTAAAAAAATTTTTTTAAAATTTCTTGGTCCTTAAAAAATATTTTTTTAAAAAATCCACGTTTTTTGGTTCTTAAAAAACAATTCTTAAAAAAATCCACGTTTTTTGGTCCTTAAAAAACAATTCTTTAAAAAAATCCATGTTTTTTGGCCCTTAAAAATAATTCTTAAAAAATCCACGTTTTTTGGTCCTTAAAGCCAATTCTTTTAAATAATCCAATTTTTTTCTTTAAAAAATCCACGTTTTTTGGTCCTTAAAAAACAATTCTTTAAAAAAATCCATGTTTTTTGGCCCTTAAAAATAATTCTTAAAAAATCCACGTTTTTTGGTCCTTAAAGCCAATTCTTTTAAATAATCCAATTTTTTTCTTTAAAAAATCCACGTTTTTTGGTCCTTAAAGCCAATTCCTTTAAATAATCCAATTTTTTTCTTTAAAAAATCCACGTTTTTTGGTACTTAAAGCCAATTCTTTTAAATAATCCACGTTTTTTTCTTTAAAAAATCCACGTTTTTTGGTCCTTAAAGCCAATTCTTTTAAATAATCCAAATTTTTTCTTTAAAAAATCCACGTTTTGGTCCTTAAAAATAATTCTTTAAAAAATCCACGTTTATCGGTCCTTAAAAAAAATTCTTAAATAATCCACTTTTTTTTCTTTAAAATATCTACGTTTTTTGGTCTTTAAAATATAATTCTTTAAAAAACCCACGTTTATCTGTCCTTAAAAAATAATTCTTAAATAATCCACGTTTTTTTTTTTAATATCTACGTTTTTTGGTCCATAAAAAATTATTCTGTAAAAATCTACGTTTTGGTCCTTAAAAAATTATTCTTTAAAAATCCACGTTTTAGTCCTTAAAAAATTATTCTTTAAAAAATCCACGTTTTGGACCTTAAAAAAATATTCTTTAAAAAATCCACGTTTTAGTCCTTAAAAAATTATTCTTTAAAAAATCCACGTTTTGGTTCTTTAAAAATAATTCTTTAAAAAATCCACGTTTATCGGTCCTTAGAAAAATATTCTTTAAAACTCCACGTTTATAAAAAAAAAATTGTTGGAGTGGGTTTTTTAAGAACATTGTTTCAAGGACCGACAAAAAAACAATGGACGTGAATTTTTAATAATATTTTTTCAAGGACCAACCAACGGTGTTTTTTTAAATATATTTTCAAGGACGTTAATTTTTAAGAATATTTTTCAAAAAACGGGGATTTCTAACAATATTTGAAAGGAGGGTGAGGATTTAAAAAAAAAAAACTAAAATATTTTTCATGAACGTAGATTTTTACAAATGTTATTAATATTTTTTAAGGATGTGGATTTTTAAACATTTTTAGAGAAATAAGGAAATTGGAAAAAAGTAGTTTGAGATTTTTTAGAAAAAATTTTAAAGGACATAAATTTTCAACAATTTTTATTTTTAATTAGAAAAAATTTTTTTAAGGATGAGGATTTTTAAAAATTTTCGAAAATATTTCTTAATAAGAACGTGGGTTATACATTTATGGATTAAAAACTAAGGAGTTTAGAAGCATTTAAAGAAAATTTGTGTTGCATTTTTTCTAAATCTTTTCAGGGGTATTTTAAAGATGTTTTAGAAAAACTTTTGAAGGAAGTAGATTTTAATATTTTTTTAGAAGTATTGTTAAAGATGTGGTTTTTAAAGAAGATTTTTTCCAACAGATTATTTATAATATTTTTAATGAAGGAAGTGGTTATAAAAAAAAGAATTTTTTAAAGATGTTTTCCATGTAAAGATATTTGGGATTTTGATGATTTTAGGCACATTTTTTCCAATATTTTTTTTTAATCTCGTAATAATTAACAAATCCTGTTGCAAAAAATTGTCCGTGTAAATGTTGGTTATGGAATCAGATTAGGATGTAGCTCTCACACATAGACTGAATTTTGTCAATTCCGACTGAATTCATCCTAGAAATAAGTACTTAAAATTTGGTGAAAATCGGTTTTAAGTCCCATATTTTTCGATTTTAAGTCCCACACATGCGTAATATGCACTCCACAACAATAATCTCATCAGATACAGCTCAAAATTATGTGTTTAAATTTTTGTCAAAATCGGTTCAGGGTTGAATATAGCTCCCATATATATATCTTTCTATCCGATTTCAGATTTTTTGTGCACCAAAGGGCTAATATCAGCCCAAATGGACTAAATTTTTGCACTTCCGACGGAATTCAGCCAAAAAAGCAAGTGCTTCAAATTTTGGTTAAAATGAGGTTTAAGTCCCTCACATGCGTAATATGCACTCCACAACAATGATATTTGATACTGCTCGAAATACATCTGCTGAATTTTACGAGACAGCTTCAGATTTTTATGTGGCTTCGATATACATCTATATCCGATTTTATGGTTATTACTCTCCATATATGTAATATCAGCTCAAATTGAATAGATTTTTAATGTTCAACCGAATTTTTAAATTTGGCGAAACTCGGTTTGGTATATCAATTGCTCTAATAAATATTTTTTTATAAAATCCTTATGGAAGTCATATCATGCACTATGCCGCGATGTTATTTGGTTCATAGTAGGTATGATCGACTTCACATAAATTCCCAATATAAACTTGTTTGTTACGTGGGCTCTACTAAATACGCATAATGGTGTAGGGTATCATATAGTCGGTCCTTACTGATTAAAAGTTCGGCCAGTTATGAAAATGTTTCCGAGGAACAACAGACCACTCATAGTGAATGTTTTATGATGTAAACATTTTCTTTACTCTCCGCGGGAAAAATTGGTGATAAAGCATACAAAGCGTTGTCACGAGCAGAATAATAATTAACCGATTACCTTGCGCCAGCAATTTCGTTGTCATTGCAACATTTCAAATGAATTTGTTTGAGATAAACGTCACATTGTAGGGTATTGGCTAAGGCCCACAATTTCTACAATCAAAGATTACACAAGTCTTGTAACTTTGTTTTTAAAGTAATTCTAACCCCACAAAACAAATAGAGAGCAGAGTTTTTTTATCTAACTTATTTTACCTTATAATACATTTACCATGACACCATTTTCCAATTAATTTCATCTAACATTCATTATTTATAATCATTGAAATTCGACATTTATAATCATTGAAATGTTTTATTTTACCAACCACTCTAAAACTAAAGTAAATTTTCTGTCATCTAAGTAGCAGAAGTATGCATTTAAAAATACTACCAATATTAGATATTTTAAAGGTATTAACCTCACTTTCCAACACAAGGGACTGCAATTTGGGATTTTTAAATTTAAACTTTATTTTTTGAAAAAGCCTTCATCATGCATTAGTCTTTGGCATATAATTCATTTAAACAGGGGCTCGCTGTCCCACTTGAGTCTTCGGCTCATTTTTACGACCTGTTGCTCGTTGTTCCACGGAAGCTTTGACCCGCTCTTTCGCAGAAGCTTCGACCCGCAAAAGCCGACGGGAGTATATCCACAGTGAAATCTCCACTAGTTCCCAACAAGTCTCCGAAGACCTGAACAACAACATTACAACCACTTACAGGGTTAGATAAAAAAACTGCAACAAAGTCAAACGACATAATTTTTATTTTTATTTTTTTTTTTTTTTTTTTTTTGGTTAATTTTATGAATGAATTGTTCGAATTGGTCACCTTTGGCACGAATTATGACCTTCAAACGGCCAATGTAACCGTCACGCTGACCGAATGTTTCTCTGCGGTATTTTGACCCATTCCCGACAAAGCGCTTGCATGATCGACACTTTGGCATTTTTTAGTTGCAACCTTGCTTTCCAAAATACTCCGAACAAAATAGTCCAACTGATTGGTATCCGGAGATTTTGGTGGTCATTGTGTGCTGGAAATGAAGCGAGGAACCTCATTTTGTAACCATTCTTGGGTGGCGCGTGCTGAGTCCTGTTGGAATGTCCAAGGTCTGCGGCCAAAATGTTTGAGTGCCCAAGGCTTTAATACAAACAGCTGGACAACGAATGTTTTCTCAACGGAGAAAACCTAATTAGGCAGTTCACCACTTTCGGCCAACCACCACCATGGTTATTCCTGATAACATTCAACCCCTCGACAAGCGACCACCCTAGAACAAAATTCCCTATTAACTTCAAGTCGTAAAAAACGCGAACGTCGATGTCACTCCGGACACAAACATCGTAATGGCAGAAGGCATTCAACCCGCCGACAAACGATGACTATAAATTCAAGTTCCCGATTACCTTCAAACCGTCAATATTCCGAACATCGACGTCACTACGGATATAAACATAGTAATTACTGATCTGCAGCACCAATCAAAATCTGGCAACCATTCACAATTTTCCAATTACATTTAAATCATCACCAACCCGAAAAAACTCTACTTCGAATTCCAGAACAACTCCATTCGTCATCCTGCATTGCCTATTCATGTTATCGTATTTGAGCACGAGTAGATTGTAAATTAACATCTGATTTACACCCGTACGAAAGGAAGAATTCTTCTCTTCTTATTATCATAAGGTGCCTCCGATATTCGGGGTTGATTGTAACCAATTTTTTCAATGAAATTGATAGGAGTTACTTCTGAGTCCACGATATCGTATATCCGTCATAAAATGGTACCTCCCTATATTCGGTATTTTGATGATTTAACCTACATTTTTCAATGGAATTGTCTAAAAATCCATACTAGAAGTTCTTTCTAAGCCCCTGAAAGAGTAATGTCTGTATAGGTCCACGATTTTTAGGTACAAATTTTCGTATAGCCCCCATACAAAGGTCACCCCCATATTCGCTATTTTGTCGATTTTAGCGACATTATTCACCGGAGTAGTTTAAACTTCGCATTTAAAGTTCGTAATGGAAACTACAGTCTGGAAGAGAATTGTCTATATAGGTCCCCGATATCGTATAGCCCCCATA